GGGTCTCCTCAGGGTGCCGTCGGCCAAGCAGTGTCGGCTGGCGACCCCCAGGGGGAGGGCCTTCTCTGTGGGTGCCCCCACCCTCTGGAACGAACTACCCCCCGAGATCCGGATGATTCCGGATCTCCTTACTTTCCGCCGCGCCCTCAAGACATGGCTTTTCCAGCAAGCGGGCCTGGCCTAGGGAGGATTTTAAATCTGGTTTTTAAATCTGGTTTTTTAAGAATAATTTTAATTGCACAACTTTAAATATTGGTTTAATTTGGTTTTATCTGGTGGGGGTTGTAAATATGTCTATGTTTTTAAATATGTTGTGAGCCGCCCTGAGTCCCGTTGGGAGAAGGGCGGGATATAAATCAAAATAAATAAAAATAAATAAATAAAAATAAATAAAAATAAAAAACATGCACTTTAAATTTTATACAGAAATGTATTGGAAGCTAGTGTAGTGCCCCCACTATACTATAGGCCCCGTAGCAGTAGTTGCTCCCACTCACCACTGTGCAGGAAGCTGTGTTGGGCAACAATTGCAGATTCTGGGTAAATCTTGAAATCGCAGACCCATATATAATACATTGCAGTAATCTAATCATGATCTTTCTATGAGTCACTATTGTAGGACCTTCCACTTCAGGTAGAGCCACCTTTGTTGCACCAGCCAAAGCTAGGCGAAGTCTTAACCACTCATGCAGCAGTAGCATGTGTCAATAAAGTCACTCTAGTCATAGACCAGAATGGCATCCCATGTAGAGTAACATCTGGACAAACACAGCTTCATCTGGTTTGAGTTCAATTTAGTTTCCCTCTCCAGACCCTCAAACCCATGACAAATCCGGTTCAGTCCAAAGGTGACAATGAGCATATTGATGGTGCCTCACCCCAAACTGATTGATGCCTTTTTCAGTGGTCTCATATAGATACAGAGGAGAAGAGGATTTAACCCTTTAGGACCCCAAAAGGGGACCTCCTGGCAGCTGATTTCCTCTTCCCCACTTACATGGGTAGGAAAGAGCTGAGCAAATAATCTAATTTTGCTCTTTTGTTTTGCTCTAAATCAAACACAGAACGATACTGTGGTTGATAGTATCAAGAGCAACCAAGAGTCTGGGAGGACTACGATATGTGCTCTTCCACCATCCAGATCCTGGCAGAGATTATCTACCACAGTGAGTGATCATTCCTGTTTTAGGTGTCATACTCTGACC